CTAGGTGTCGAGCTGACTGGTGGCGAGCTGGATTGATTGTTGAGCTTCGTAATTCTTTAGAGACCTGCAAGGAATCAATGTCAGAGGACCCGGGGTGGCTAACCCGGCGAGGTTGCTCCGATGCTTAAATCAGTACTTTCATAATAGACTGCGAGCTAAAAAATCATAAAGTATGAGAGCTAGAATATGCTTAAATGCCCTCCCATGTCATTGGGGTTGGTGCCTTTATATAGGCATTGCTTGGCGTGGGCTTCATGCACCGTATCCGAGATTTCCACGAGGTCGTCTAAGTGGTTCGAGATTCCCGGAGGCAACCGCCATGCACGTTGACCACCCTCYAGAATGTTCGATACGTGGACCAACTTCCAAGGATCGTGGGAGTGTTGGGATATGCGTGTCGAATTTGTCGGCGAGCACGTCTCGTAGGTCGCCACCTAGACCTCAGTCAGGCTAACACGCCCTCGAGGGAGGTCATTCCTTGCGCCGAGGTAACTTCGGCCAGTGACGAGGTGCTGCAGGTCAGCCCTGAACGAGGTGCTTCTAGCCGACCTGAGTTGTGGTTGAGGTCGCTAGTTCAGCATAAAGGCTGGCCACCAGGTCGGCGTCAGTGCCAGGTTGCCAGGTCGGCGCCTGTGCCAGGTTGCCAGGTCGGCGCCTGTGCTAGGTTGCCAGGTTGGAACACCATCATCTTGGCTAAGTTGTTACCTAAGTGGTTCCGGGTGTCACCTAGTTGTTCCGAGATGCCACATGTCACGATGTCATTGGAGGGCCAAATCCGCCCTCATCAATTGCCCCCACTCCCGAGCTGAAAGTAACTCGACGGAGGGAGTAGATTGCTCCTTTTGGCATGGAATGACTAATTCGATGAGCTTGTAAGCATCGATCCAATTTGCTTCTCAAGTCGGAAGAGTCCAAGTGTTTGCAGCCTTGTGCAGGACCTCACCATCTTTATTTTCGGGGCCCGAGAGCGAATTCATCTACTCGAGCAGCGGTGGAGCAAGTACCCCAAGGACATCTACCTTATTGAGGATGTGACCATCAAGAGGTTCTGCGATCCAGCTAAGTACCTCAAGAGTGAAGCTCCTCATGCCATTCTTAAGAGGGGGTTCTGTGTGACTGCTCTATCAGGTTGCTCCACCTAGGTAGATTTCGGCGCAGCGTCCTTCGAACTGGTCCCAGCCAGTGAGTTTGATGCGGAGCTTGCAACCGAGGTGGAGGTCGGCTATGAAGAAATCAAGTTTGCATCCATCATGGTGCTGAGAGCGAATTAGTCTTTCCTTTGTTTTCTCGTGCTGAATGCAAACTGCTTTATGTTTTGTCCATGCAAAAGAGGCGACTGGGTCTCACGTGGTGCCGAGGTCTTTTATCAAATCGGTACCTTAGGCCCTTAGGCTCTGGGAGCGACTCGYAGTCCACTCTCCTTACCCTTGATTTTTCCCATGTCGAAGAGGCAACTGGGTCTTATGTGGTGCCGAGGTCTTTTATCAATTCGGCACTTTGGAGTTACGGCTGCGCTGCATCAGCCTCGTTAGTGACGCCAGTCACCTACTCCTACAAAAAGCTACTGGGAGCTCGACCTATGGGGGAAACACTACTGACTTTTGGTCACCAGCWCGCGCGGGAGCCCTTGAAGGATCAACCGGCAAGGGCGTCCATGCAGTTCATTGGCTGCCAACTCCCGCGAAAGCCACGAAGAGCTCATCTTGTAAAGGGTACCTCGCAAAGAGGATTAATGAGGCTTTATCCGAGTTGAAATAAAGTCGGTAGAGCTGCTTAGTCTATTGGCCACTTCCTGCTTAGTCTTTGAGTTCATAAAAAATGGAAATTAGAAAGTGAAAGCTTTAGTTTCTAAAAGGTGAGAACTTAGCTTTCTGGAAGAAGAGGACTTAGCCTTTCAGAAGATGAGAACTTAGCTTTTTGTAGCGTTTCCCACAGACGGAGCCAATTGATGAATCAATTTTTTGTGCTAAGTACCTCGTCATTCGGTCTGCTTCCATGTGGCCGATGACTCAGAGGCCGAAGTGGAGAATTTTGTTGGGTGAGGACCTGGATGCCGAGCTGGGAGTGGACTAGGTGTCGAGCTTACCAGGCCRAGCTAGGGGCAAAGGACTCGGGGTGGCTAACCCGGCGAGGTTGCTCCGATGCTTAAGTCAGTACTCTCATAGTAGACTACGAGCTAAAAAAATCATAAAGTATGAGAGTTAGAATATGCTTACTTGCCCCCCCCCCCATGTCATTGGGGTTGGTGCCTTTATGTAGGCATTGTTTGGCGTGGGCTTCACACACCGTATCTGAGATTTCCGCGAGGTCATCTAAGTTGTTCAAGATTCCTGGAGGCAACCGCCATGCACGTTGAACACCCTCCGGAACGTTCGATACGTGGGCCAACTTCCAAGGATCGTGGGAGTGTTGGGATATGCGTGCCGAATTTGTCGACGAGCACGTCTCGCAGGTCGCCACCTAGACCTCACTCAGGCCAACATGCCCTCGAGGGAGGTCGCTCCTTGTGTCGAGGTCACTTCGGCTAGTAACGAGGTGCTTCTAGCCAACCTGAGTTGTGGTCGAGGTCGCTAGTTCGGCATAAAGGCTGGTCGCCAGGTCAGGTCAGTGCTAGATTGCCAGGTTGGCACCTGTGCCAGGTTGCCAAGTCGGCGCCTATGCCAGGTTGAGACACCATCATCTTGGCTAAGTTGTTGCCTAAGTGGTTCCGAGTGTCACCCAGTTGTTCCTAGATGCCACGTGTCACGATGTCATTGGAGGGTCAAATCCACCCTCATCAGAGATAATTTTAGAAATAGTGGGAGATAGTGGGAGAGATAGTTTAGGAGTAATTTTAGAAGAGATTATTTAGGTTATTGGAAAAATGCATCTTATTGGTTGTTTAAAAATGACATAGAATTAAAAAATAAAAAAATAAAAAAAAATAGATAAATACTTTTTATCAAAGGAGAGACATGAGATCCCGTTCGGAGGCTCGCAGCCCTAATTACCATTTTTTCAGAAAACGCAATGTAAACAAAAAATGCAAAAAGCTGACGTATTAATTTATCGAAACGCAACGATGTCAGAGAAACGCGCTTTTCAAGCAATCGATGCTACGGCCACCTCCTACGAAGCCTACAGCATCTACAGCTCTAGACCTCTAGTCCCAGACTCCCAGAAAAGCCCACAAAACCCGAATGACTAGACTGGTCGAGCCGGACGCATCAATGAACTACGTACGGTTCAACCGTGTATAGATGTTTACAGGTGCAAGTATTGGAATAGATCTGGACCGTTAGTTAAAGTAAAAGGGAGGGTCCCACGCGCTGACATGAAGTGATTGGGCAATCTAGGGGATGCCCAGGAGCACGTGCAACGTGTACGTACGGCCTTTGTCTCCACACTCCAACAACTCACTCGTAATCTCTTCGCGATATACTCCCCGTCCCCAGTACTAATCACCACCTTYTAAATTTTCACTTATTATTGTAAAAAAATTTAAATTTTCAATTATTACTGTAAAAAAATTAATTAAAAGAAAATACAAAAAAAAAGAAAAAGAAAGAGAGAGAGAGAGAGAGAGAGAGGTACGGAGGGTGTTTGTTCGAGAGAAAGAGAGAAGTGTGGCAGAGCGGAGATTTTGACCCCTTTTGTGAGCAGCGCGAAGCCCGATGCCTCTCTCTTCGCACTGTCTGGGGTTAGAATCCGTTAAATGACCGAACTGCCCTTCTTATCTCTTACGCTGAAGAGTGAAGAGACTCTGTGTTCTCAAACATCTGATTCAATAGTGCCACGTGGACGGTAGACCTTGCATCATTGGATCAGATCGTGGTCAACGTTCTCTGTTGACATACCCCTTTCTCTCTCTCGTTCTCTCTATTTCCACATCTCTCTCTCTCAAGTTCCTCTCCATTAAGGCACTAAACCAATTTTGCTTTGCCGTATTGGTTCTCTTTTTTTTTTTCTTCTGTTCTTAAAAAGAAGCAAATGACTTTTGTATAAATAAACAGAGCAGGGAAAATTAAATAGAGCAAAGAAAGGTTAACAGAAGCTCACACCAACGCATCTTCTTGTGCTTTTCTCTTCTTTTCATGGCTTCTTCCCTCACTGCCCCCCTTCCCCACTGGCCCAGTCCCACTGCAAAAGAAACAAAGACCCCAATGGAGAGAGAGAGAGAGGATGAGTGAGTGGGTCTGGTAATCTTTCATCACAAGGTTTCTTCCTTGGGAACTCACGAGAAAAAGAGATACAGAAATCACAAGAGCGAAATAATAGAAAAATTCAAAAATCTTAAAATTGCTTTATCTATCCTTTAGCTGTACTGTACACTTCTTATTCTCCGATCACCATTTTAAATCTCTCACTCGGAAGCGTTTTTTTCTCTATTTTCCCGTATCATCTCCCGAAATCTTCACATTTCCTGGTTACCCAAAAAAAAAACGAAAAAAGAGAACCCAATAAAACAAAAATAAGATTCCAATCCTCCCGCCTGTTTCAAACATATACAGATCCTCCCGACCCGAACAGTTCATGTACATGGCTGATCTCCAAAATTCAGCCATGAAGGGAACTCCCCAATTATCCGCATATCATCGCCACCAGCAGCGCCACCAATCAGTCCCAGAAATGCTTTGGGCCAATTACAAGCCACCACCTGGGACCATCTGAACCCTGGTTGAAGCTCCGAGGGATATGACCTGCAATTTGATTGCTGATCGATGGATCATGTTGTTCCCACCCGTGTTACTCTGTTGTTGCCCTCTTCTTCTCAGCTACCTGTCCTCTATGAATATTCTGCGTATAAAATCTCGGAACCTCTTTGAATAGAGCTTTGGATCAACTGCGGATATGGAGGTTGGGTCGACCTGCAAGGACTTGTATGCATGCTCTAGCTTCTTGCTGATATCGTAATCCTGGAGAATGTCAATGATCCCGAAGTAGAGGACTACTTCATAGATCTCACCAGTACCTCGCAAGGGTGTCAAATTGCCACCCCCACTTGGGTTAAACTGCTCAAAATCACTCCTTCTAACCACCTGCTCTGCTCTTGCCGGCATATTTGCACCTAACCGAACCAGCGGCTTCCTGCCGGAACAAAACGCCCTCAACATCAAAATAGAAACCCAACTTCGAAACCATTATGCATGATCATCTCCAAGAGAAATTATATAATTCAAAGCAAGGCTTAATCTTTTCCTACATAGCAATTATTATGTTTATCTCTTGTTTCCTTTTGTTTCCAATTTGGGATGCATGGACAAGTATACAATCGTATATTCAGTAATTTTAAGTTATTTAGAATTATTAGGTCACAAACCACTCAGTTTGAATCACTATTTGCTAAAACTTGAAAGATACAGACATTAAGGATTAATTCTTTAACAAGAGATTGAGATTAAGCCAACTGAAAATCAAACTAAACTTTGTTCTYATCCATGAAGGAAAGATCACCTTGTACATACCCCACCCACAACTGTTGCATGAAAACCAACCCCAGTTTCACCAAGACAATCCAAACCACTTTAAATTATTCCCAACACCATCAAACTCAAATGGGAAAATGATTGAAGAATCTAAACCTAAGGTAGGAAACTCCAACCACAAGATGTGGTAATGGTCGGCAGTCTTTGTGATGAGAAATATTCTTGGATGATAGAAACAGCAAAGTGAAGGACCATTTGTTTTGATAAATAGCAAAAAAACAAGACCAAGTTTAAACAAAAAGACTTGCTTCCATAATTTCAAAAAGGTGACTTGTAATTTACGCCCAGAGTGGACGAACAAAAATTTAGGAAGAACAAAGACAATCAACTGAAAAAAAATAAAAAAACATACCGGCCAGCCGGAATCCGGCTCATATCTTGTGGTGCTGCTTCAAAAAACTGGCATCCATTCAAACCCTTTTGGTCTTGATATGAATCCATCTTGCCTGAAATCAGCAGAATCACATCCATTTTAAGCCATGTTTTTAACTCAGACATATCTACCACCATCAAATATCTAAAAGAATCCAATAAAAAAGAAGGTAAAAATTGGTTTTATCCTTACAGGAAGTCATAGTTAATGGAGAGAGCAATGTCTTTTCATCAGAGTATTCGTCACAGAAGTGAAGACCAACCAAAAGACTATAATCCATTATTCTCTCAGCTTCCAAGAACTCACAATCTCTATCAATTTGACTGAATAAAACCAGTGAACCAATGTCATCTCAAGCACCATATAATCAGATCAATGAAATAATGAATAAAGAAAAAAAGAACTTATATTCAATCCACTTACAAATTAAATGAGATATATTCTTACTAACCTAATGAGCTCATCAAACCAAGACCGTTGTAGGCGAAAGACAAAATTGAGATCAAGATCCTTAAGGGTGGTTGTCTCATCGATTTCCCCCTCAGGCTTGTCAGTTGTTCGGCCATGRGAAGACCCTTTGAGATCAAACCGCCTATGGATGCGATACTCAGAGCAAAATAAATTTCCCATCACAATGAAACGAGTCTGATTTCCAACCAACAAAGTGCAGTATTAAAGAAATGAATTATGAGTTGAAGAAACTGCTTAGCTAAACCAAACCCATTTAATTCTAACCTTCCAAGCATACCTTCTGGCCGCCCACAGGTTTTACACAATGCACACCAAAGAACTTAGTGACCAGGGAGTTCTCATACCGACAAACATGTTGGTAATAGCTTGGAAGCATTCTAAGAAGCACCTGAATATGGATTACCAAATTGCAGTTACAACCAATCATCTCGCCCTTAATTCTGCAATTGAAAAGATTTTTTTGTTTCTAAGATTTAACGGATTAATAGGTCAGAGAAGGTAGGTAACTGACCTTGACCTCAGATTTCTTCACGGTCTTAATCATGAACCGATCATCCTGTGTAAGATAAAAGAAGCTTCCACTCTTCCCTGGGGAAGAGAGCTCTCTCAGCGCATCATTTCCACAAATGGCTAGCATGTAATCCGCGGGGTCGATCTGGAACAACTCTCTCAGATGTCTGAACACCGAATCAAACACAATCAACACCATGAGAGACGGAAATTTAACAGAGACGAAAGACTCCGATGCTTGAAACCAGAAGACTACATCCTATTAGATTCAAATTCATCATGAATATTCAAACAGAAAGCAAAAGTTCTATTGGGTATCTTCTAAAAAAATAATTGGTACCTGAACACCATGGGGCAGTAATCCTTCCACCTGAACTCCACGGACTGATGAGGGGGCGTAACCTTTGATCCTTCCGGTGGAAACCTCGTCCAGAACTTCTCCCTGGGATCGAAATCACCAGGCCTAAGGTTCCGGAGTATCGACGCAGGCTTCCCCACGGAATACCTAAAAAGATGACACGACCGTGATTCAAGAATCGTACCAACAGCAATGGGAACAAAATGAGAAACACTGACCAATCCATTCAACAAGCTACCTGATACCCAGTTGGAGATTAAGCATCAAATCATAGTTCTTATGCCCCTTCGATATCGTCTGCCCGGGTTTCTTAACCTCGCCGGTGAAACAACACGGACTCCTCCGCCGCAAGGCAGCCACTCCCTGATCCAAGTTCGTTCCGTCTCGATAAAACATCGAGGCTTCCACATTATCGATGATATCACAAGTGATATCACCAGCTTCCCCATCTGATTCCCAAATGCAAATCCGAGGAAAATTCCTCTCGGCCAAGCTCCCCCTTGCACCATCGACCGAAGACCTCTTCCTAGTTGCCAACAGAAAGTTTTCTTCAATCAATGGACTCCTCTGATTACAACTCTGATCCTTAACGCTGCCGGGATAGAACGTACCATTGAGTTGCTGGTTTTTGAGATCCTTACCCCAACTACCCACATAGCAGCTCCCGTCCGGCCACGTGAAAACCCCATTTCCCTTCGGAACGCCGTTATCCCACTGGACATCGTACCGATTCCCATTAGCCCAAATCAAAACCCCTCTTCCGGACATCACACCGTTCTTCCATTCTCCGACGTATTCATTCCCGTTCTTCCACACGTACCTCCCATGCCCCTCCTGTAGATTTTTCCTCCACGAACCCTCGTAGAAATCACCATTCGCGTACCTTTTCTCACCAAACCCATGCTTCCGATCAGCATTCCATGATCCCCGGTACGTATCTCCGTCAGAGCCGATGAAGGTACCAAACCCGTCCATTCTCCCACCCTTAAATTCGCCTTCGTAGGTGGCTCCAGATGGCCATGAGAACTTTCCCTTCCCGGAAGCCTTCCCCCTCCGCCACTCCCCTTCGTACATACACCCATCCGTCCAGAGATACTTCCCGGTGCCGTGAGGCACGTTCCCGGCAAAACTCCCCGTGTAGAGATCTCCATTCGGCAGCACCTTCTCGACGGTGGCGCTTGTGGTGGCGCCAGCGCCACTGGTGGGTACGGCGAAGGCAGCAGATGCGATTGTAGTAGTCGGCGCTACCCTCCTCGTACCCGCCTGAGATCGACTTCGGCCGACGACGAACGGCGCTGGAACCACCACGGCAGTAGCCGTGGCTGCCACCTCGGGCTCCTCTTTACTATATTCCTCAGATTTCTTCTTCTTGTTGCCGCTGTTGGTGTTATTATTGTTGATTCCTTCATTAACCAATGAAGTCTCTTGCATTTTCGATTTCGCCACTCAAACTCGCCGGAAACTCGCCGGAACCTGCAGCTTCACCAGCATTTTCCCGGCGACTTCTCTCTCTAGATTCTTTATCTATTTTTACTTCGTTTTTCTCTCTCTCTACTCAAGTCTTTTGCCTCGAGCAGCAGCTGAGAATCCTACAATCTACATACAGAATCAGAGAAGATAGCCAAAGCAACGAGAGAGATACCCAAGAACCCAAAAAGAAAGAGAGAGAGAGAGATTTATACCAGAATGACTATAATGCTCTTAACTTTTGAAACAATTCCTCAACAGCATCTATGATTTCATGATGACGTGACGAAATAGCCTACGGACTGGGAAGCTATAAAAATAATAAAAATGTAATTTAGGAAAAAGAAATTACCCCTGCAAAACCACAAAAATTAAATTACAAAATTACAAAAGTTCCATTGCAGAGGTAAAGCTGCGTTTGGATGAACGGTGGACCCGTGACATGTTGGAAGGTTTGACGATTCTGTCTCTTTCTCTCTCTCTGGAATCTATATTTCCTTATGTTGGTAAAGTTATGTTTRGGAACTTTATTAGTTTAATCGATTTTTTAGGGCTTAAAATGGAAGTATAAAATAAAATCCTTATTTAATATATGGAATTATTCTCTTGATTTTAGGTTAATTGTGGGGAAGTGTTTCTTATTCTTGTTTGGTGTCTTCATTTTGTCAAATAATCTATTATTTTGGCAGATAAGATTTATACCATTATTCTATAAGAATTTAATATCATCTATTTAGACCATTTTTTTAAGCCCATTTATTTAGACCATTAAGTTCACAATGAGATGCTGACAATATACTAAAATAGAAGCCCTTGTCAATCAATTTTCATCAAAAAAAAAAAAAACTATTAGGTGAAATGTTGAGATCAATCATTCATCCTTAATGAATCATTGTTGTGTTTGGTTTGGTGGGCTCATGTAGCAACTTCTCCATGCCAAAGTATATTGAATTTCAAACCGGTTCAACCACCCTCTAACTATCATAGGTTAAAAGTATCGACGCGTATCACACAGTATCATATAATATATATTGATTTTTTAGGATCACTATGCTAAATATAGAGAATTAGAATATTTTGATAAATTTGATCATTAATAAACATGTTAACATATTCATGCATAAATATATTTTGTTAGAAAATTAAAAAAAAAAAAAAACCAGTCGGTTGACAGGTTTAGTGCTCAATTTTGTATCGAATGTATCAATCTTTTGAACCATCTTTACTGAGGGTTGTGTGATGATAGTTAAGTGGCCAAATCGAATGACTTATTGCTTTGTCTTTTAGTGAATGCCATTAGTAATAAGTCATTCAATTCAGCCACTTCAGTACATAACATATAAAGGCTTTTTTTTTTTTCACAATGGCTGAAGTGGCTGAATTGAATGGCTAATTTCTCCATCTTTAAAGAGCTCGGTTTTAATCATTAAAGAGGCTCCTTAAAAATTTATTCACTAAAATACAAAATAATAAATCAATTCAATTCAGCAGCTTCAGTGCATATAATAATATACTTAAAAATTTTTTTAGGTGGGTATTTACTATTTAGTGGTCCATGGGCTTACCGTTCAACTATTTTCTTATAAAATCAAGGGCCATTATTTAATTAAATTAATTAACTGGACCAGCTAATTAATTCAAATTATTTATTTATTATTTAAGCCTTTTAAGCGGAACGAGTCGACTTCTTCTGGTTGAATTTGTTAAGTTTTGAAACATGCGGGGGCGATCCAAACGGTCGCTTTTACAGTTGGGCCGGGGGAGACTGAGTTGGCACGTTTAATGGGCCCACGGGCTGGAGTTTTAGCTGTCGTGGGCCCATGTTCGTATGTCCCTATCGAAATGCTGCGCACTTCTTTCGCTCTCCTTCTGTTTTGTTCCTCCGATGGCCACGTGTCGGTCGGAATCGATGCCGAAGATTCGCGGTAAAGATCGGCTCGTCAAGTCACGCGCTTGCTGGGCCCACCGCCCCATGTGATATCACTCCGACCCGGTACACTACACTCGTATTTCCAACACGGAATTCGTTCTCTTAATTACGTAAATGCCCTCCACAGTGTTGTTAAATATCAGAAGTTGTGTAAAGCCTGGCGCTGCTTGGCACGCTCCAAAAGTGTTGGGCTGAGGGGCAGAATTGTCATTTTATGGGTGATGTCATTTTCGACTTTTCCCGGGTGCAACGAGCCGCGAGGAGTCTCCACGTCACATTTTTATGATCCTAGAGAGACGTTTTTCATAGGGTCTGTTTGGATTATTAAATTACAATGTAATCAAGGAGAATGTTCCTYGACACTTGCAAGTTACAAGCTTGAGTTTGTTCTGGCCTTCTTTCTTGAAGGGACCACAATTATTTGGGATCACAAGATTCCTGACCCGACCCGTTTCTGTATTTTGCTCGGATTCTTCTATATGCTTCTCAATCAAATGTATTGACCCATCACAAACCTGAAATAGATCAAGGGGACCACTGTATTTCGATATTATGAATCCTAACATTACTTGTTTTGTGGATTGCCGACCCGGATCCATATCTGAATAACATGATCCATTTTTGTCGAGTTTGGGTTTTTTAGTCAATGGGTACACAACAGGGGTGTTCATGTTTCGGTTAACTAAACCGTGGGGTTATTTTTTTAACCGAATCAATCTAATCGGTTTTTTAAATATCCAAATCAAAATCGAATTGATGCAATTGGTTAATCGGTCGATTGGTTAACTGTGGTTCAGTTTTTCGGTTTTTTTATGCACTCAAAATTAAAAAAAAAAGGAAAAAACCTTCTCTCTTGCAATTTCAAGAGACCGTTGGTCAGTCGGAAGCCATCTTTCGGTTTGAGCTTTTTCCCATTGGGGAAGACGAAGAGAGATGAGATACTAAGAGAGTAAGAACTGAGAGAGAGTGACTGAGAGAGATGAGAGATGAGAGACTGGGAGAGATGAGTGACTGAGTGAGAAGAGAGAATGACTGAGAGAGAATAACTGAGAGACCATTACCCGTCGATCGGTCGGAGGCTGTCCATTGCTGTCGGTTTGGGCTTTTTCCCGTTTGGGAAGATGAAGAGAGATGAGAGGTTGACAGAGTGAGAATTGAGAACTAAGAGAGAAAGGGATTAGGTTTAGGTTAATTCGAAGAAAGAAGAAAGAAGGGGTATAAGGGTATTCGATTTTAAAAAATATAAAAATAAAAGTATAATATATAATACAATATATATTAGTATATATATATTTCAGTCAGTTCAATTAACTGTGAGTTTTTTTAAAAAATTAACCGAATTCGAACTGATCAATTCGATTAACCGATTTTTCGATTTAATTATGATCGGTTCAGTTTTTCATTTTTTTTTCTCACCTCTAGGTACAGCCCGATCCTAAATCAAATTCCACATTTAATTAGGGTTGTTAAATGGATTGGGTCGAACAGAAGCGAATTAACTAAATTGTTTAGGGTTTGGGTCTGCAATATGTCTCCCAATTATAATTAGATGATGATGTACATCAGCATATTACAAATATACCCCCAGTTAAATACCTATTATTTTYTGTCAGCTTTGGTTTATGCTAATCCGAGAGGTCAAGTTGGTTTCAGTTTGGTCTGTATAAATCGATCAAAATCCATTCGATCTGATTATATATATATATATATTTAAATTTAATTTTTTTAATATAAAAAATAGAAAAATCTCATATTTGATCATTTAAAATATTTTTTGTTTTAAATTTTATTTTTTCAATAATATCATTGCAATTATTAATTTTGTTGTTCTAAATTTTTTATCAGATCAAACCCTGTTTTTTAATTTAACAAATTAGTTCTGATATATTTTTTGAATTCACCTATCAAATCGAGCCGTATTGATAATTCTTCAATCCGATTAAGTCGGTTCAGTTGGATGAGAGTACCGACTAAAGCCTGTGAATCGGTGTATGAATCCATAGATGTATGAGTAGATAAAATTGTAACATGGAACCTGGATCTTGTATCCTAATACCATGACATATGAAATGTCAGAGCTGTAGGGATGGGCAAACGAACTTCAGAATAGAGCTCTCACCTCTCACCATCTTATGGTCCCCCCTCCTTCATTTGGATTCAATGAGTACAAGCTTGTCTTTAGAGATTCTTACAGGAGCCAGTGGGTCCTACAACAACCCGATCGTAATTGGTTCTTGATGGTTCAACCCACATGGTTCAAAACACCCAACCCAACCCATTTTGATTAAACCCAATTTAAGCCCAACCAAGAACACTTAGCCCACAAGCCATTACAGCCATGCTAACCACAAAACAATGAAGACACCCCAACCATTAAATCAGCATCCCTTGGCTTTTTTGTTTCTTAGCAGGCTGGTTCTTTCCAAATGGTTTGAAGCCGGGCTGGTTCACATGGTTTGATATCCGGTTGGCTCGATATTTTCACCCCTTGCTTAAAACCTAAAAGGAGTTTGTGTTCCATTTAATGGTTTCTTTAACACAAATTACTTATGGCCAAATTCTTTAATACAACTTGAATTTGTGGGTTACTTAACCCAGCCCTTAGAAGGAAGGTAGTCGTGTACTTGAGGACAAAGAGAAGTTCTTAATTAAACAAAACATGGTTAATTCCATTATTAATAGCTCTTGCTTTTTTAGGCTCTAGGCAAAGGTAGCTTTTTGGCTCCTTGGCTTAAGGCCCTGTTTGGGAGCGTTTCTGCATTTAAGAGGAGCTGCTACAGAGAAGCCGCTCAGGTTGAGTAGGTGTGGTCCGGATAAGCTACTTAAAGTATATTCACGTTAGAGTTGTTAAAACAGCATTTCAAAAGTTGCTTTTCGGCTTTCTGGATTTTTATCAAACATATCAGAAGCCACTGCCGGAAAACCCTCCCAAACGGGCACCGAGTACAAGTATGACTCAAACAAGAACTTGGGGCTTTGAACAAAAGCCACTACAAGGACCAAGGTCCAACATTCTGTTACACTATAACAATACCCATTTAGGATTTAAGACCCGGGTCCTATCCGGATCCACTCAAATATAGACAAAACCATTTTTTTTTTCTATTTCTGCAAATTTGTCTTTGCAGGTAGAGAGTTGTAGCTCCCCATTTGGGCAATTGATTATAAACCACATATATATTGCCCTAACTTAGATGTGACAAGACATGAGCCTGATATTGGGGTCCATAAATGGGCAAACATGGAACC